GGGGAGGGGGAGGGGGGAGGAGGGGATCTGGAGGGGACGGAGGAGGGGGAGGAGGAGGAGGCCTTGGCGGTTCGGAGGGGATGTCGTTGGTCGCGGAGGGCTACTGAGTCCGTGTTAAAGAGTAAGCGTGTGGGCGTGTGGGCGTGTGGGCGTGTGGGCGTGGGGGCGTGTGGGCGTGTGGGCGTGTGGGCGTGTGGGCGTGTGGGCGGGGGAGTTGGGGGGCGTTCGGGGAAATAAGAATACACTCGTGTGTGGTGGCTGTCTGGGGCCGCGGGGAGAGAATTTGTACAGCTATAGCTTTATAGCCATAGCATACATACAAACATACAATTTTATGTATGTTACGGCTTGAGACAGATGTGGTGGGTGGTGCGTATGTATGGGTATGTATGGGAATGTATGGGTATGTATGGGTATGTATGGGTATGTATGGGTATGTATGGGTATGTATGGGTATGTATGGGTATGTATGGGTATGCATGGGTATGTATGGGTATGTATGGGTATGTATGGGTATGTATAAAACCCTTGGCATGTTTGCTTGAACCGTGCAGCTAGCTAGCTACGGCATAGGGTTGGTTGGAGCTGTAGCGATGTACCCTACGCTGTCCCGAGGCGGGGGGATCAGGGGGTCGGGACAGCTCACCTCTACCGCCCCCAGGGGGGTTTGGAGTGGGAGGGCAACGAAGGATGCTTACGGAAAGAGGGAAGGAAGAGGGGGATTTGCGTGGAGGAGGTACGTAGTGAGCATGGGGGGTAGAGGTAGAGGTAGAGGTAGAGGTAGAGGTAGAGGTAGAGGAAGAGGTAGAGGAAGAGGAAGAGGTAGAGGAAGAGGAAGAGGAAGAGGAAGAGGAAGAGGAAGAGGAAGAGGAAGAGGAAGAGGAAGAGGAAGAGGAAGAGGAAGAGGAAGAGGAAGAGGAAGAGGCGGAGGCAGAGGTAGAGGTAGAGGCGGTGGGGAAAGTGTTTCAGATCGAACTCCAGCGAGAATGCACCACCCGCACGGGTGGAATCATCGCATCATGCATACAACGAACCAGACAAGAGAGAATCCGGTAACAGCCGCCCAACTACTCCATCACACGAGTGGCCTCCGTCCGGGAAAAGGAACAACATCTCGCAGCCGAAGAGATGAGAGGAGCGCAGAGGAACGGGCGTACATTGCTTTTTGGGGTAACTTGAAGGGAGGGGTAGAACAGTCATACACGCGAACGGCGCAGGTGTCCGCTGTCCCAGATAATTTTTTTAAGTCCGGATAATCGAGGTCTCTACATCGCGTCCTGCTTTATTTGAGTGATAATGCTTCCACTTTAAAGCGGTGATATATAAATGAGCTACTATGATTGCGAAATGGACGTGAAGGATTTTATGTATTAATGGATGTGTGATCGCCTTGTGTCTGATGTGTGTCTGTATGTATGTGGGTAGGGTGGTAGCTCCTGACGCTCTCCGTCGTGCACCCGCCGTCTTCGTGTACCCTCATTCAGCCGTGTTAGGCTGTGTGGTAAGGTCAGGTGATGGTGTGAAGCTCCAACCAAAACCCCTCAACTGATGGGGCGGAGGCGGAACCCCGACGGGTGCCGTTCTTATTGAGGCCACTTTCAGATGCGACGATATTAGTTTCCCGCCGCGAAATTGCCGATATGGATGATGACGTGGCTGAATGGATGTGGGAATCCGGGGCCGATCAACGGAACTGCCGACCAACCACCAAGCAGTGCTGCTAATGCGGTTTACCTGGGGAGGAAAAGTTGGTTGCTTCAACGGCAGCTGGATGAAGGCAAGGAGCCTCCTGGGAGACTCGTTGCCTGGTCTTTCAGGCTCACTTGGCAGCACAGTTCGAACTGCAGTCCACGGTACTGCAGTCCGTACTGCGTAAGGCTGAATCAGTTTTAAAGAGGGATTTTTCCGTACGCATGATGTTCTGTTGCCGTCGCGGCCCACCCCCTTTTTTGGGTTTTGCTGGCATCCCCCCCTAACCCATTGTTCCGTTTGGAAACGTGTTTCGGAGCGGCCTCGAGGCTGTTTGGAACTAAGTTGTTGTTAAATTTACCCCGACGACGTCATTCACATTCACATCCCATACACACATACACATACATACATGCACACTACTCTCACTCTCCCACATCCACGCTTACATAATCACTCTCAACACACCTTAACAGCAACAGCACCACCACCACCACCACCACCACCACCAACAACAACAACAACAACAATAACAAGCAGCAACTAATAGCAGTCAAAGATTTCAAAATTGCCAAATGCCCGATGTGGCTGCGGCCAAAAACAACTTTTCAACGCTGCATTCCCAAATCTGAAGCATTGTACAGCAGCACATGCACATGCACATGCACAAACTGTGTCCCGAGAAATAATTGTCTATCTATTTTTCGGACCTACAGCCCTC